TGTGACCACCATCCTGACCACCGTAAAATCCTGATTTATACGTGCCCCCCTCCCAGCAATTAGGGTCTCGCGTGTATAGAAAAGACTTTGAAAGGGAACATTTTTTTTTTTCATTCTTTAATCAACCAGAGGACGAAGAGAACAATCTAGGATTTCTCGATGAAGTAATATTTTTAAGAAGAAATATTTGTTTTTCCATTCTCGCGAATGAAACTTCGTTCCAATTTCTCCGTGACGAAACTATTGATATATGACGCTTTTATAGATTCTCGCGTTAATTCTTGATTTTAATCTTACCAAAAAAGAATAATCGTAAAAGGAAGAGAAGGGAAAGGAGCAGTGAAAAAAAAAAGCAAGATAATTGGTGGAAGGGAGGCGTTAGCCGAATCCGAGTGCAAATTGCTTCACACCCACCCGTTTCCAAGGCTCGAATTATTTCCTTATTAGCATTCAAGATCGATACAATCTGGCCAGATACGCGGCAAATTTCCAACTCGCCCCTCCACTTCCACCGTCCGTCCACTACAAAAGATCGTTAAAGAGATAAACCGCAGGTTGTTCCCAATCACCGAAGAAATCTCTCCAAAACTCTGTATCTATCTCCCCGTCCATCTCTCGTTTCGCTCGTCTACTTACATACCGCGCGAGAGGCCACTCCTCCCAAACCCCGGAGTCCTGGAACGTGAAAATGTAATTGTGACCCCCGATGGAAGAAGATCGTCGGGAACGTTGGAGGGAAGTAGAAATAGCGGTGAGGGGGGAGGGTAACTACGCGTCCCGGACCGACTGTTTCCTCCCAGGGAATACAATGGGCGTAATGGGCGGTTGCTGCGGGCAGACGTTCCGGCCTCGTCTCCAGACGAGACGTAAGAAGACCTGGTTTTCCGGGGTGTGGACGTTGTCGTGGGAGGTCCTTGGTTCGACGTCGCGCCGTTTACAGGCTCAATACATCATTCTTTTCGCAATTTGTCGGGAAGCCGTGAAAGCTGCGGGTTTGCCGGGCCTTTGCGCGGCAGATTGTCCCGGATACGTCCCCTCCCCCCACGGATCTGGCAAACGGAAGACACTGACGCAACGGAAGCGACAGCTACTTATCCCCGCCGGTTAAGTCTCGCCCGCCGTGTCGTGCATTTTCCTCGGTTGACCCGTCCAATCGGATCCCTCCTTGCTTCGTCCCAGTGCTAATCTTTCGAATCGCTTCGTGCTCCGTGGGGAAACTTGGCGAAGAGAAACGTTGTTGGAAGGGAAACGGATTAATCTCGTGTCTTTTTTTGTTTTTATTTTATTAGAGATTCTACGATTCTCGATTGTCGAACGATTGAGGAAAAGATAATTCATAAGATGATTATTGATTCAAAGGAGATAGGAGATAATTTTTCAATTTTTTTTAATAAGATATAATGTAGAGAGAGAGCATAGATTCGTAGACTAAAGTTTTTTAAATATATATCACTCGCGAAAGAGAGCACGGTAATCCAATACAAGTAGCCTGGTTGTTCGTCCAATCGATCAATAATACTAAAGTCTACTAGAGGGTGATGGTACAATTAACGTCACGTGAATTACGTATCATCCCCTTAAACGAGTAATTTACGACCTTCGACGGGGAAAACCAAAAATCTGTCCCGTTTACACACCGACGAAATCACGTACTACTGCGTGATATATCCTCGTTAAACGCCGTTCCACGCGCGAATACCTGGGTAAACAAATAAAAGGCACCGTGGGAAAACGAAATTCGTCCTCGATCCTCAACACCTTCGAAACTTATTACCTCGGGGCCCCTCGCCGCCTCATCAGTCATCGCGCAAATATTCGAGAATGGAAAATGGGAATCGGGGATGTGCTAAGATTAAACTAAAATAAATAGAGAAATGCGTATCGATCGACTTAGATGGAGGAGGCGCGTGTAAATCCCCCAAGTATAAATTAATCTCGAAAGGTCGATGGATTAATTTACAATTCAGGATTACCGTCAGGCATCAATCCTCCGCCTCTCTCTCTCTCTCTCTCTCTCTGTTTTTGTTCTTTCACCCCCTTCTGTTTTTCTCCGCGAGGGTCTGGATGCGTCTGGACGGGTGTACCATAACAAGAAGTGGGGGTTTCAAGGATCGTGGATGATAGAGAACCGGAGGGTGTTGTATATCGCGTGTCGGATCGAGGCTCATTGTCTTGCTGTCAGGACCGCGCAAATATTACCACCATCTCCAACCGAACGCGGATATTTCGCCTATATACACCTATGCGAACCTAAACACGCGCGCTCGTGCGCTCGTGTACGTGTAAGTGTATAAGGGTGGTGTGCGAGGCTCGATTGCGCGCGTGGTGGTGAATAGGTGAGACGTAGGTAGTAGGAGTGGTAAGTGGAGGGTCGAGGTATTTCTGACAAAGCTTTCCACGATCGTCACTCCTTTGACACGAGGCGGGGTACGAGAAGGGGGAAACGACGAATCCTGGCCGGGGGATTTCCACGATAACCGAGGCAGCAGCGAGATCTCTGATGGAAACTCGATTATTCCGTCTGGGTCGCGATACGGAACGGTGTTAAAAAATTATCGCCCTGTGTATGTTTGATAAGACGATCGACTTATCGGCCGATTATCGAAAGACACGAGGAATATGAAAAATTTAAACGCAACACGATAGATTTCGAAGAGAAATAATATCGAAATAAATACACGTGTAAGAAAATTCGTGTAAGAGTAAATAGTAATTCCATGTGTACGTGTATGTGAAGCCTTCCTTCGTTTCGTTTCCCTTCTAATTATTTTCAAGCACGAAACCACGAAACCAGGACACGCTGTCCTAATGCATAATGTATGTACGTGCCAGGTTTTAAGAGACATCTCCCGAATCCGCGGTTCCGTGAGGCCAACAAAGAGGCCGTGAACGATTCAACGACGTTCTTCTCGTCGAAATTTCTATTAATCTTATACCAAGCGGTGTTGGTGGAAAAAATCGGAATCCCACAAAGCATTCTATCTTTGCCATCTGGCCCTGTCCTAGAGGGCATGAATTAACTCGAACGAGCCCGTACCATCCATCCTCCACCCAGGTATACGAACGAAAGCATGGATTTTTTGCCATGTATACAGGGTGGTCTGGTCCCTTAGCATCTTGTTTATTAAAACAGAAAAGATAAAGCCGTTTGACCTGTAAGGAAATAAATCCACCTTCTAGTAGAATTTTGTTTTTTCGAAGAATTCACACGTTCGAGAATGCAAATCGCGTTTCACCGATCATCATTGGTGGGCTTTGAATTGAGAGATTTTTTCCGAGTTTATTAAATATCTTTCTCTCTCTCTCTCGAATAAATCTTTTCTCTGCATACTTGCAAAATCTCGTTAGAAATAAAAAAAAAAGAAAAAATAAGAATCCTATTCAAATACTTTCGCGCGCCATCGTGTATAGATATAATTGAAAAAACAGAGGAATGGATGGATCTTTCTTCGAGTTGCAGAAATTATACGCGTTTGACGAGAAAAACACAACAGTAACGGTAATTGCCTCGGGATCGATAAGATGAAATTACGTTTTTAAGCGCGAGCAATGGGCGCCAACTAATTCTCCCTCCTCTTTTTTTCCACTCAGAAACAACGATTACAGTTTAATAGAAATCTTACGATGGTTCCGCAAAGACAGAAAGTGAGAGAGAAAGAGAGGGAGAGAGGGAGAGAGAGAGGGAGAGAAAAATGAAGAGGACGATGTGTAACGAGATTCTTTTTCAATTTTCTTCGGGTTGCAGCGAGCACGAAAGGACGCGATATTAATTCGCATCGCTATTAAACGTAAGACGACGTCTCACGACACGTTTCCATAATTAATCGAGGAAAAGTATTCATATTTAAACGTTTCTTATTCATAGAAATAATTCCGGTGAAATTGAGGATTTAAAACGGAAGTCGAGGATCTCCATGGTAGACACTCGTGACTATCGTCTATTCATATTTGTCATAATCATCGATTAAATAAATGACATATTTTTAGAATGAATTGAATTAATCAACATTGTTCCATGGAATATCCACAACCCATTTTCTTCTCCACTTCAAAATTATTGCAGCTTTCATACTCATGTTACATCTAATCGAGATTTCTCCTCCAAAATAATTGTAACGCGTTACAAAAATTAATTATAGTAAAATTCTATCGAATAACGATCCTCAAATATCGAGATACATAAATATCCTTCCTATTCCACTTCATTTATCACGAAATATTGCAAGATAATCAACAACACAAACGAAATACCAATATGAAAATTGAAAGATCAAAGGATCGCCATTACTAACTCGCTGCACAATGCTCACTTTTCACCAATCACCTCGTTCCTCGCGCACGAACGACACTCTTTATTATCGATCCCGTTCCACCAGCTCGATAACAGATTCCAGATATTCGGTATTCGCCACGCGCCCCACGCCACCACGACAATACAGGCTGGCCGATAATCTATGAAAGGAGTGGAACAGCGGGTTAAGCAACTGCTGGTATCTTTATCATCGGAAACACAATTTCATTACAATGCGGCCGTTACCGGTTACGAGTCCCAAGAGCTGGCGCCCTTGTGTGCGGTTTAATTAATCGTCCGTAAGTACGAGTTTGCATCCTCGTGCGTTAATTATAACGCGGAGCGCCGTATAAACGTGTTAAACGGTCCACCGGCTGTAAATCGACTACGAAAGGTGAAACGTACGATTCGTCGCGCAGGCCCGTTTCGACTTTCGAGGATTAACCGAGGAAATAATAAACAAACGTTGGCGACAATTCGTTCGTGTTATTATCGCGAACGATAATAAACTTTGTCGTGTTTTCATTTCGACGGAGCAAGAACGTTCCCGTTTATACGAAAGTTTAGTCGAAAGATTTCTATTACGCGCTACGGAATACAAGCGTGGAAGGAGGAGTTTTAGTGAAATTGCGTTCGAATTTCGTTGTCTTCTTTGCGGTGATTCGTTTTTCAAGTGGTAATTTAAATTTAATAGTGCGTGCGATGATTTCGTTTCATTTTTTTTTGTTTATTTCTCGTGTTTATTCGTGAATTTTTTCAATTTTGGAAGAAACGTTCAACGTAACGAGGATATTGTTCGAAAATTTGTTGTAGAAATAATGGAAATTTGAAGTAAATGGAGGGAGAAGGATTTGGATAAAAGATTCGTAAGTATTTTTAACGTTTAAGTTGTCGTAGTGGAAAGAAATATATTCATTTTGATTTAAATTTCGAAAGTATTTGTTTAAAACGAATTAAAATAGTAGTGTTTTTTTTTCTTTTTAAATATAAATGCAATAGAGTTCCACGATAACAGATAACGATAACAGAGAAAGTAAATGATTGCGCAAAAACTTGACGTCTTTTTTTTTTTTTTACACAGCATAGTAAACGTAATGTTATTCGTGAAAGTATTTTGTTTTATGTAAAATATAAATATTACAAGAAGTACACAGTTAAAATGATTCGTAGCGTAAGTGATTTTAAAAATTGTGTGTATATTTAATTAAATATCGCGTGCAAAAATATTATTCATAGTTTCATTCACGTGTAACATACTCGTTTACAGAATGGAAAAACTGATTCCTATATAATATCTAAAAAGTTACTTTAAAAAAAAAAAAAAAGAAAACAGAAACACCAAATACATTCCTTTCAATTTTTTCCAAACGTTTATAATAATACTTTTTAAAGTATAATACTTTTTATCATGGAATAATGATGTCACGTTCCACAAACAATGACTTTAAAAAGTATTTATACGTCGCGTGTATTTATCACATATTAATTAATTAAGTTCAAACGTATTCGCATCATTCACTCTCGCACAATTACAACCACGAGAACAAAAATCGAGATCCATCGTGCGCATATTTCGAATCAGAACCATTTCACGAGCATTTATTGAACGCGTTATTTCCGTTACACTTTTTTTCCTCTCGAAAAAGCATGTATCATCGAAACATTTTCACCGTAGATCGAAACCTCCATCGATTACGATGAAAATAACGCGAGTTAATTGCATAATCGATAAAGCAATCGGGACGAGAACCGGGGCTTCATCCCTAATAACATAATTCTCATTACCTGTCCAATCGTTAAACAACGACGCAACGATCTCGTTATCCCGCGGATTGTCTCGGCTTGCGTGTAACGATTTTCGAGTTACACGTTACGAAGAAAAATGCGTGAACAGGTGCGAAATACGGTCCCTGATAACATATGCCGGTTCATAACTCACGCTGGGAAGAGTAATGCCCGTGTCGCTCATAAAGAACGCTAGGCTTTGTCAATATCGAGCTACTACTGCTCGTCGTTCTCATCGTGACCAACGATCTCTCCCCTCCCCTCACCCTCTCGCCTCCGTACCTGCGCCCCCGTGGACGGAAAAAAAAAAAAAAAAGGAAAAGGAAAAGGACCGTGCAATCAATATTTTATCACCTCCCTTGTCATCGAGGACCATCGTAGGCCTCCTTCCGCGGACCATAGTTCAACCGATGACATTTCAATAAACCCTTTGAGGGGAGGGGATAAGGTCAGCCTAAAAGCCCGCTATCCGCCGTGGCCCGTTCCGAGACCCGTTTCGGGTGTCTCATTTGACTGTCTCGCGTTTAGAGATCGCAGGATACGTCCATAAATATCCGGATAAACGTTCTATTCGTGAATTTTGCGAAGCCTGTACGAATCAATCGGATTAATATCGTATTAATTTTCTATTTTGAAAATGATTCGTAGGATTACATGGTGGAAATAATAATGGAGGGTAAAATTAATGGTGTGAATTTTAGAGGTATTCTTCGTATAATATTTCATTTGTATCTGCGAATTAAAATAATTTTCTAATATGTTTATTACGCGTGAAGAATATCTGGTTATCTATTAGTTGGTTTAACATGCGAATAAAATAATATCTTAGGAAGAGCAGACACACGAGTCAAGATTTAATTCGTCGTCTATGTTGAGCTTATATTCACGTATAAAAGAATTTCAGCTGTTTATTCGTTAAGCTGATTACACTTAAGATTTCGTAGTCGCGATAGGGCAAGATTTACATTAACAATTCCTTTGCCTTACAATTTAATTCATTCGTAAACCGTGTTCTATTTCTCGAGCAAGCATTTCTACGTCCGGACCCAATATTATCCCCAACAATATCCCCATAAACTCGAAAAGCGGTTTGAGTAAAATGAGCGGCTGATATAAACGGTCGGATGTACATCATCAAAAATGTAACCTCGTTAAAAATTACGCCAACAAGATCGAGAAGACTCCTTCCTCTCTCTCTTTCTCTCTCTTTTTTTCACCCTTTCCACGATAGCTTGAATCAGCTTGCTCGAACAAAGAGAGGGGAGGACTTTAAGCCAAGCCATGACAAAAGCGGCGACATTTCAACAAACTTGTTAGGGAATAAGGTCACTCGAGTCCAACGGCGTAGCCCAGACCTCTCGAGGACCTAGAATTGAAATGCCAGTTCGAAACACACCGCGTCGAGTGGGTAATTTCAGGAAAACTCGGCGAAATTCTGCGTCCTTGGTGACGCGTGACGCGATAATAACCGGTGTTAAATTGCACGCCGGCCATTGTTCCCCGTTTCACGATCCGTTACACGAATCCTCCCCCTCCCCTCACCTATTGTAAATATAAACGCGTGACGAAAGGGAAGATTGAATTTTTCACCGCGGATGTAATTAAAAACGATTAGAATTAAGAAAGGAGGAAATTGAACGGAGAGGAAGCGTGGCCGTGGATGATTTAAAATTAACCGTGGCAATTTCCATCGACGAAGCTCAACTTCATTCGTTAGTACCACTTTTAAGTGGCTTATTAAAGCCTCGAGCGGAGATCTCTGTAATTAGTAATACGCTCTATTCCGGGTGTATAACTCGTGCATTAATGCTCCTTTTCATTTATGATGCATCCTATACCTGCATCACAGGTTTTCACTTTGGAATCAATGTTTAAGAAGGATGCTCTTAATAAAATGCTCTTAATAAAATCGATCGTTCAATTAACTCAATTAATTTATTGGAGGAATAAATTGGGGGAGAGAGAGGGATCGAAAACTCGGTCGAAATCGAAACTATCATGGATGAGTTTCGAGGAAAAGGGATTAAAACTTATCGATGCGATAGATTTTTTTTGGACGAACGAAGGGAACATATGGCCGGTTTCTCGACTTAGTCAAGGTCGGTGGTGAAAAGGAAACGGAAAAGGGGGAGAAACAAGGGAAAACGCACGTTCCATCGCTCGGTTACGGAAGAGTCACGCGCGGAAAATGGGTTTCACGTGTCACGGTGGAGGGATTCGGAGAGGACGTTTCTCTCCTCGCGGGTAAAAAGTTTTTCAGACCTCCTACAGCGGCCTGGCCACGGGTGGGGTCCGTGGAAGCCAATTCCTCCTCCATTGTGCGTAAATACTGAATCATTGGCAGCCATAAAGGCGATTCCAGCGAGGTATTTAACGGCTTTTAAGGTGGCTCGAAGCTGCGAGAGCGCCAAGACGATCTCCCTCCTTCGCCGACGTCGTTTTTCATTTTCCACCTTTTCACATCGATTTCCGCGGCACAATGAAATTTCAACGGGGGCCGTTGTGCAGCTTGCGCCGACCAAGAGGAGAAGAGGAAGAAGAAGAAGAAGAAGAAAAAAAATATTAAATAAAAGTGGACAAGGGAGAGGGAGAGATCGAAGCGAAGATGAGGGATTGTTGCTAAGAGCGCGGAACGATTTCTTGGAAAAATTGATACGTCCCGCTTTCAACTTGTACTCCCGGCTGAGTGAAAAATTGATAAACCGGTTGCCGATAAAATGGAAACTAGTTTACAACGTTTAGTGTTTGAATTAATTATTATATCGTGGATGGGATGGGGTGGATCCGGTGGCAGTAACCGGCAGTGTCCCTTAATTATTTACCGATCTCGAATATAGTGCGTTGAAACTCGTTACACCGAGTGCGGAAGCGCGGCATAACGCGGCTTAGAAATAGGTCCAACGCGGCTAAAACTAAAAGAGAGGGGGTGGAAAATTTCAGCTATCTCGCGAAGGACGTTGCATGCAGGCTGTTTGCACTTGTTTTCTGCACGAAATTCCGTATACGCGAGACGTCAACCGCATGGATTCTAACTTGGTTCCTAATGTTCGGTCTGGTTTGTACAAACTGCTTGTTCAAAAAATCCACCACGAGTTTATCTCTTTCGCGAGAAGACAATGATTTTTTTATTGAAACAGCGAGTTTTTTGATTTTTGAGAATCAGGAAACAATTCAGAGATAATAAAAACATTCGAAGCGGAGAAATTTAATGTTTATTCGATTGATATCAATCAACGTGAATTTCACGAAGCTTTCAACTTACATCACAACAAGCCGGATTCTTTACGAACCCGGATCCGATTTCTTTTCCCGCAAGAGCGCAAATACAACACCGATCGAAATATGATTATCAATTAGGAGTATCGTGCCATTCATCGACATCATCGCGGACAAATGGCAAATGCAAACGTCATTAACGGTAACCATAACAGGACAACCTTTGTCCTCGAACAATATGGCCCGCCAACAAATAGAATTCCCAATTAGTTCAATTGGAAAGGTGTTACCGTTTCACCATACGCGTTCCCAATTATCCCCATAGTTAAGCTTGATTTACATTACCCGAAAATCAAATATATTAACGGTAAACGGACCCGATATACACACACACACACACATACACACAGCCTCGGCTATTCCCCGCCTCACCATGTCCCTCTCCCTCTCCCTGCCTGTATCATAGATACGTTTATTCGAATTGGAGCCACCGCGGTTGTACTCGGCCGTCGCAAATCTTGTTGCAATTTCCTATCGATCCGCACCGGCGACAATTTCCAAAACTCTTCGCAACTTGGACGCGGAGATTTGGACGGAGGAGAAGGAGGAGGAGGAGGAGGAGGAGGTGCACGGTTTCGACGCATAATTCCTGCCACCCGCATAACTCGGTCCCGTCTTCGCGGCGTGGAAATTCACGGCGTGGATTTGGGGGGAGGGGAGGGGAGGGAG